GTTAGAAGGTGGAAATTCCAATGTGTGTGTTTTTTAATGTGTGTATGTGGGTGACAAATGAGAAACAGTCCTCTTGTGCTTTTTTGGGGAAATATTTATTTCCAAATTTATATCTAATCATTAATCCATAAGGAGACATATCCTCTTATTTTATGACTCACAGTAGGTATTTTCGCACAACACATTGAACCTCTGTAGGTTGTTAAGGTGCCATTCCTTGCCCCATCTTGTATAGCTACTTAATATATAATCAGCAAATCCTTTCTATTAAAATCATGCTATATGAATGTGGAGAAACATTATGGTTAACATTTACTGGAAGTAGAAATCACATTAATTGTTACCCTGCATTCTTAATTATATATGAACTGTTGATTTTGGTTAAGGCAAAAATAGGCTAAGTTAGAGACATAAAAATGTAATCCTGCACAGTGTTTTCATGTACTTCCTTATTTCCATTGACCTCAGTTTTCTTACACTGAGAACCAAAATAAGATAGAGATCAATCTGACAGCTAGTTCTGAGGGTCTCCTTTTTCAATTTCATTTTTCTTCCCCAGCAGTTGCTTTCAATGTTGGATCCTTTATAATAGCAAAGATAAATGTAAGCAGCACCTTTGCTGCCACCATTTATATTAATACAAATATTGAAAAGGAAATTAAATTTGTAGAATGTCATAGTTCAGGGCTAGCTCTCCCCTTCAGGTTTTTCTGGAAGGCTTCTGACTCTTTTACTCTTATACAACAATGGTGGCAGGATTACAAGTGTGGTTGGAATCTGCCAGTATAAATTTGCACAACACCCTGAAGTGCCTAATTTAATCTCTCTTGGGGATAGTGGGAAAATTAAAATACACACTTACAAATATCTATTCTTTTGCCCAATGAATAAAAGCAAAACTCAAGTCTGCATCAAGACTTTAAATCCATCTCTGGCAGTTGACCTACTGCAAGGATTAATGCCAGGATCAATATGATTGAAATGTCCAAAAGACATTTATTCCATTCCATTCCATTCCAGAATAATAAAATTGGAAGGGACCTTGGAGGTCTTCTAGTCCAATCCCCTGCTCAAGCGGAAAACCCTGTACCATTTCATTCCATCCCATTCCATCCCATTCCAAGATGAAAATCCATGCTCCTGACCAAATAATGATTAAAACCTAGATTAAAAGAGGCCACAAGTAAAGATGTGCTGTGTAACCATATTTATAAATTACAATTCAGACATTTATTTACGGTAGTTAAAACTTGTCTCTATTGTATCTTTTGTTCAATCTGTATTCATATTTTCAATTATGTTTTGGTTTGAAAATAATCAAATTACAGATGCTAAATAATTTGGGCTTGGGCCTTCTGTTGTTGTTTTTAATAAGCATAAATATTGGTTTATTATTTTTAAAGCTATTCCCTGCCAGACAAGCAAAACTTTCCTCTCTAGTAAGTCTAAAAAGAAGCATTCAAAAGGGGTGCTTTTTAAAATATGTTGCCTCAATCTATGCATCTTTCTTTAAAGAAGCAACTACATATTTTAGAAACATTAGTGTAGATGCTTTTGAACTCTTTCCCCATGCATACATAGACCACAGTTCAGCTGTGAATGCCTGTGAATCAAAATGGTTGAGCTTCTGCAAGCATCTGGTGATAACAGAGTCCTTCAAAGCAACTATGTAGAACATTTTAGAGGATACAGCTGCATTAACACACCAGAACATTATGCTTTGTTCATATGAGTGTGCTTTATAAAATGCCTCTTCCAAATGTTTTTAACAGCTCTAATGTGCATAATTTTTGGGGTGGTGGTGGTGGATGGAATCTGGATAGAAGAATGTATGGGACAGATTCTCAAATAATGCGATTTTGCTGCTTTTCAAGATTTATCAAGTAGCTTAACAATTAAAAAAAATACTATCCAGCATAAATATCGAAAAGCCCCAAAATGTGGTTTAAAAACCCCCAAGATGAAATAGTTAAAAATAAACCAAATCCAAAGCTTTCCAGGATAATCCTTTTATCTCCTGAAAATTAAGTCCTCCAAAGTTCAGGGGTGCTTACTTACAGATAAAAGGATTTGAACTGCAGTCTTAAAGCATAATATGAAATAAAAAATAGATTAGCAATACAGTAAACAAGATAATTTCATTGTTGGTTATTATCTTACAGATCTTAACAGCAGTTCCTCCTGTGATCATTTTAACAAACGCCCAGAGTATAGATGATTTTTCATAAAACCTGGACTCAAATAATTTAACTCTTTTAATTACCAAAAATTAAAATTTTGAATTGAGCTTTGATGTACACCACAATTACAGAATTGGTGTAATCCATCTATTATGGAACTTTTTAAAATATCAGATGTCATGTTTCGTAGAGTTTGTATTTTAAGGCATGCTCATGTGAAATGCATAATATTTTGGCTCTTAAGTAAACTAGATCAATGCTTTTCTTCTTGAAATTTGGCTTCTCAAAATTATATTCTCAAGCAACTTTCCCAATCAGTGCACAACAATAATTTTGTATAAGCACATGACTTCATGGAAAAGTATTAAACTATTATGACAAGATTAAATCAGAGATTTGAGTATTATTTAAGGAGAAGATATTAAAGAATTGGGGGAAGAAATAAGCATATGATTGTCTAGTATCTTAGTTTACAGAGAATTCAATGTTAGAGATATTCCTGTTCTTTTTTTAAATCAGTTGTAGTACCCTTAAGAAAGTAGTAAAACCTGATGTAAATATTTATTTAGAGTTTGTTTCTAGAATTTGCTTGTGTAAGTGACCTATAATAAGTAAGTTATCCTATGAGCTATCAATTCCTTTTCTTAATTTTTATTTTGCAGTCCACTTACAATAGTGTGCCTATTAGCTACCCTTGATATTTGTCCTATCAAGAGACTTATACCCAATCTAGAGATTCCAGCTGTTTAGGCTTGAAGACAATTTCCTATGAGCCCCTTATTCCATATTTCAGTGTTCCAGTCTGCTTTCTCTTTAAAATATTGGAAGGAAGAATTATGGAACTGCCTGTCATAAGTAATTTGGCCCAAGGAGGTTATATGAAAGAAACAGTAAATCACATTTATAAATTGAAATAGCTGTATTTGTCTGCTGGCACTGCTCTAGGCCATGAAAGTGTATGCCACAATAAACATTGTTAGCTTTTAAGGTGCCAGGGGACCCTGCTGTTTTTATTTTTAACATTCTTCTTGTCTAAATCTTGTTTAGCTACTTCTTAGTGCCTACTGCTACCAGGATTTAGAAGTTAGGAGTGTTTGTGAAGAATTTTAGAGATACTAATTTGTAAGGATTTAATAGAATTCCATTATTACTACAGAGAATTTTATTTTATTTTCCTAAAGTTTAGATTGGAATTAAATAATATATAATGATTACATTAGTAAACCTTTAGTTTTTGCTACTAGCCTGGAACTTCAGAAGAAGAGTATCTGTCTGGAAAACCAAAATATGTTTAAGTGGAAATTGAATTATTTGCTAAACTTTGGTACCCTTGATACTCCAATTCAAGAAACCCCTCTTTGCCTCTGTAGCTGGGGAATTACCATACATTTTTGAAAGCAAAAAAAAAAAAAAAAAAAAAAAAAAAGGTGGGGGGATATAAAAAGGGACAGATACCGGTATATTTTATAATGCCCATGCCAACAGAAGATAAATACTCTGAAATATGACACATGAAAATAGTTTACACAATATTAAGAAAACAGAATATCTTAAGAACTGTCAAGAGATAACTAGACAGGTATTCAATATTACTGTCACAGATCCTCTTGATTAATATAACATGTAGTCTTTCCTTCCTTCCTTCCTTCCTTCCTTCCTTCCTTCCTTCCTTCCTTCCTTCCTTCCTTCCTTCCTTCCTTCTCAAAGAGCAGGAGCCAGAACTACCTGCTGCTTGCTGTATGGCTTTCCTATCTATCTCTCTCCCCCCTTCCTTTTCCAAGTTCACTGGGTCTTATTTAAATAAGCTGGCCTGAAGCCAGAACCTCATCATTTTAATGCAGTGTAAAATGTGAATATGCATAATTATATGCAAGCCATATGTGAGGGAGACAGCTCAGCTGTGAATTTCAGGAGACCGGGAGAAAGGGAGAGTGAACAGTCAGGGATTAGATGAGATGAGAGTGGAACAGAGTGCAAGTGTCACCCAAATGAACGGTGTAATGAGCATGCTGCTGACACTCCTCCTTTCTCCCAATTCTCTCTTTTTACTTTAACTCTAAACCAGAATATACTGTAGATTAGAAGAAATTGCTGCAAGCAAGCAGTAGAGTTGCTAATGGAACTGCATTAATTTATCCATTTAAACTTCAGCTTCGTTAATGAACTGTTTAGATCAAAACAACCCATAACTTTCAGTTTATATTCTTAAATATTTTAACATATTTGATTGCCCTCACTTAATGACAATTGGATTCCAATTTTTTTTACATAAAAAGAGAGAAAATCCATGCAATACAATGACTGTCAGAAAAAAGCATGACAGAAAATAAGACCTTGTTTCTTAAAATATTTAATCTGGAATTATGTTATTGGTTGACCATTTTCAAAGGGTAAAATACCTATAGCATATATGTAATATAATCCTTGAAGTACCAAAAAGAAGGGGAATAAACTGAAAATTTTAAGACTTCCAAGCCTACATATATTGGGAAGTAAGTCCCATTCATCTCATCGTGACTTACATCTGAATAGACATGAGTAATACTATGCTATTAAACACTCAGAACAGAGAGCTGAAATCCTTCATTTTGGGGCTTGTTTCTTTGCTAATCTTTCACTCTTACACCAAAATCTATTTGCATGTTTTTAATGGTGTAACGAGCACTCAAAAGTTCTAATACTGCATATATAAGAATTTTTTTACTACTGTTGTATATGAAATTCCCGTTTGTTTAATGATCTGAGCTGTTATGCATTTAGCTTATTCTTTTTCTTCCATTATTTCTAAGTCCCTAAATAGGCCATTATATTTCCCTTCAGGCTAGAGATGAAGATGGACATGCTGAAAATTTTCCCCAGCAGCACTATGCTAAGGAAACTCCAAGACTTGCCTTCAAGAATAACTGCGAACTACTTGTAAGAATAATATACTTACAACAAGTCTAGATTGTTACTTTAGCACAGTGAAAACAGTTTTTGAAAAAGCTTTTGTTCATGATTATATACATTATGAAGTATTATAGCTTTTAAAAAATACCATGTACCAGTTGGAAATGCTAAATCTGCTATAGTCGAACAGGTCTGAATTCTCAATTTACTTGCAAATCTTTTCTTATAGAATAAAATGTCCTTGTAATTGAACTGTAGTGCCATCTAAAGAATGTTTACTCAGAAGAAAGTTCCACTGAGTTCAATGGAGCTTACTTCCTAGTAAGTCTGCTTGGTATTGTAACATAGTCTTGTATTCCTTGAAAATCATTCAATGAATTGATAGTAAAACACCTTTAAAAAGAGGGAGGAAGGGAGAGAAATGATACCTAAACGACAGTCATTTTCTGTTCTCCATTTCTCCCTTTTTAAGTTTTAACGCTGCCATTGTGTTTAGGTAACATTAAAATTCCATTCAGCTGCACTGACACATGGTCCTCCTTCTATACTTCAATTATTCCCCTAATATATTGGAAAAAACAACACTAAATCACTCTTGTTCTCTGTGGTGGGGATTGAGCAAATCCAGCAAAGCACTCAGGAGGAGCATAGAATGTTTACATGGCATAAGAGAGATTATAGCAGCTCAGCTGTGAAGACAGATCCGTTCGAAGGCAATTTGCTGTTCATTTTTGCGTTTGCTGCATGCAAAATAAACAGTAAATATAAATGAATGTTATATTTCTGTACAACAAAACGATTAGTTTTTAATAGTTTTGATTAAAATGTAACGATCGGTGCTTCAGGCTTTAATATTTCTTGTTTAGTTAAAGCCAATAGAAAATGAATGATCATTTATTTAAAGGAAGATCCTGATGACTGTATAATTACTATTCTGTTGATGTTTTTGTTTCTCTTCCATTGTATTTAATGCTTTAAAGGATCCCTATATCAATGGTGAAATCTGAACAGTTTGACAAAACAACTATTTTGCTAGGGAGTATAGTTTTGTTTTATAATGGGGGGAAAAAGGAAGATAGCAGAAATATAGCATTTTATTGAGAATGGTAGATGTTTTTCAGTAGGGAATTCCAGATTTTGTCCCTTTCTCTGATTCATAATATTTTTTTATAATGTTAATGTTTTAAAAATTGAAAGATAGACAGTTGTAGACAAGTGGAGCTATGCTTGACAAAACAAAAGAATAAAATATAGTACTGAGCTCAACATTATATCTAGCTTAGTGCTAACCCCTTTGATCTATATTATTGGAATAGTATCACAATATTATATGATTTATAATTTTATTGTTGGAGCAGGCAAGAATGAGAAGACTTACCCAAAATCATCTTTTCATATCTGTGTTTTAGTTCAGGAAGATCCAAGTTATATTTTGTACTTTCCAAACTGCAGCATCCTTACTAGTTGACAAAATGGGACTTAATTCTGAGTAAACATATATGGTATTGCACTGTTAAGCTCTTAAGAATTATATTTATTAATGTATTTCTCCAAACTGGAAATACTCAGTTCTGGTCCTATTGTTATTCCAGAATCTTCAAAGTATCCTTTCCTGGTCCTGCTGTTCTTTTTTATCTGCCTTCTCAAATTACTAGTTTTGCAAATCTGTATTTTCAACACATTTGTTCACAGAATGCTTCTTAAATTGCTTCTGTTAGGAATTAATCTTAAAAATTATTCATACACAGAAGCACATTACTTAATAATTAAAAATATAATTATTGACTTGCCTTCACTAAAATACTTTACAACAGTGTTTGGTCATTTGAAAGATTTTTTTAAAAAAACTTAGTTTTTAAATACAGTGAATCATTTGATATATTAATACAAGCTTCTTAGTATTTTTTTCTCTCAGAAAATTACATGAATGATCCATGCTTGGGAAATGCTTTCCTCCATACAGGGGAATTGTTTCAAATGAAGTAGTCAGAAATGCTAAAAAAATATTTTATATAAATATATGCTGTTGAATTTTTTTCTATCACTGGGTATAAATCATATATTTTAGTTGCATTTTCCAGTTTTACCTATACCAAATTAGTCTGTATATTTTTATAATTAAAGTATTCTTAAAAGATGGATTTTGGTCTCTGTCCTCCCTCCTATTTAAATCAATAGAAAACTCTTGTCAATTTCAGTGTAAGCCCTACTATCTACAAAATGATTATAAAAATATATAAATTGGGTGATTCTGAGAATTTACTTTAAGAATACTAAAGCCTTATATTTTCTTGAAACTCTGAAATATTTTATATTCTCACTGAAAGGAGACATGCACTGGAAAAGACTTCATGCATAACAGAATGCAAGAAAGAATCCAATATGCAACTACTGCATAAAAGCATCAGATAAATAATTTATTTGATTCTTGAAGTACCGCATGAAAAATATGAATCTAAAAACAGCTGTTACCTAAAGAAATAATTTTATTTATTTATTTGTTTGTTTGTTTGTTCGCTTATTCAATTTCTATAGTCACCTAACTCAACCAAGTGACTCTGGGTGGTTTAAATTCTAAAATTATAAAGCAATTAAAACAATTTTTTAAAAAGCATAAAAACAATAAAAGTGTCCACAAAACCCAACAGCAGCTATGATGATTAATCAACTAATAGTAAAAGTAATGGTGCCCTTAACAGATTCCAAGCACCAGACTTTGTTACTTAGCCAAGTTTTTTAAAGCTTGCAAAAAGCCAATAGGGTTGGGGCCCTTCTAATTTCCAAGGGGAGAATATTACATAAGGCAGGGGCTACAGCAGAAAAAGTCCACCTTCTATTTCCCACCATTCAATACTCTTTGGCTAACAGAATCTGCAGCATGTGCAAGCTGTTGGATCGGGTTGGTAGAAACTCTTGAGAAAAGATAGCACCTCAGGTATCCCAGTCCTGAGTCAAGTAGGGCTTTAAAGGTGGTAACCAGTACTTTGGATTGCACCCAGAAACACACCAGCAGCCAGTGCAGCTCACAGAGTAGTACTGTTACATGTGCTGTGTAACTGGCACCATTTATTACCTTGGCAGCTACATTTTGAATCAGTTGAAGTTTCTGAATGCTATTCAATGAGGACCCCATGTAGAGCATATTGCAGTAATTTAAATAGGAAGTTACAAGGGGATAGGGGATGGTGAGCAGGCCTCCCAGTGCTTGAATGGGCACAACTGGTGCTCTACCCAAAGGCATGGAAGGAATCCCCTAGCCACAGCTACTCTTCAAGCAGTTGTGAGTCTAGGAGGACCCCAAACTACACAGCAAATCTGTCAGGGATAGTGCCACCCCATCCATAAATTTTGCTTTAAGAAGAAAGTAATTAAGTAGTTTGGTGGGATTGTCTCTTCTAATTAGCATGCTTGTGTATGTATGTATATATACTTACTATAGGTATCCAGAGAAAATAACTATGCTTTAACTATTGCACTTCCTAGAAATGTTTGATGATGAATGCCCTCTTTGACCTAGTTCTAGTTATGTCTTTTTAAAAAAACAAAACAAAAACATGACTAATTATAGGTTTGAATGCAGATCCATTCAAGCACAGGTGCAGATCCAATGTGGAATGTGTCCAATCTATTTTGGAAATATACTTTAGTTACTTCCCATAGTCTGCCAATTTACAGTGTCTGATAACTGAACAAGCATGGCCAATGGTGAAAGATGCAGAGTTACAATTTCTTTCATCTTTGTTAGCAATGTCATTTTGGATGATTGGAAACGTAAGAATAATGGTGAGGGACAGCTAAAACTTTAAATGAAGGAGAGATTTAAAAAAAATATTTTTACAAGTACCAGGAAATCCTTGGTGTTCTTTTAATGCACTACAGACTAAGTTTTATAGTAATTTGTCATAGAAAATGGACATTCAGGCTCAAAAGTGCTTTCTTAGCTTCAGGCTTCTAAAGCCATTTTCCAGCGTGGATCTCTACAGCAAGTGGAGCCTCTTTAGTTTGGAAAATGTTTCTGCTCTAAGGTTGCTGCCTGGATAGATAGAAGGGATCAAGCACTGATGGAAGTTGTTTGTTAACAAGGTCCCAGAAGAACATGAATACATGGCTAGAATATTAAGATTCTGGACCACAAACATGCATTAAAAAACTTAATTCCTAAGTACTTGTACAGATTTCTAAACTTGTAAACTTACTAGTAGGAAACATATGTTTGTAAAGTTTATTATATCTGAACAGAATATATTACTTTGTGTTACATAGAACTTTACAACTTTTTTTTTTTTTTTTTAAAGCTTGATAGAATTAGGGGACAGAATGAGCTGCTGTTGAACCAATTCCCGTCATGAATATGGCTGGGCTATTTATTAGGAAATCCATAGAAATTACAGTTTGGCTGCTGAAAATAGCCACAAAGAAATTCCACCATGCAGTTATTATGCTACTTTACAATATTGATTTCCCACTATAAATCCAAAATGAGTTATGTGCTATAATATTTAATACAGAACATAAGAAACCAGATATTATAGTTGGCAGTTAAGATGCTTGAATCACGGAGGATTCAGAAATATCTTTATGAATTACCAGTGAAGTCGGTCATTTGGAAAATTGGGTTTCCTGATGGTTAGTGTCACATGATAAAAATAGCAAATGAGTACGTAACAGAAATACTTCATAGCAAAGATTAAGGCAATCCTTGGGGCTTGATTCATTGCTAAATGTATTTTATGGATCGTGTACTAAGGACATTGTTTTCTGTTATTTATCAACTGATCTAAATCTTTAATAATGGAGTAAAATATATAAAAAAGGGGGCATTATTTGCAGGTGAAGAGAGTCCCAAGTTTGGTGAGCATGATTATAACTAAGCAGTGTTGTCAAACCAGTTGTTTTATGAGAAGAAAGAGAAGGAAAGCGAAGGACCAAAGCAGTGAAAAATAATGTGCATAAAAAATATTTCTGAGCAGTTGTGGAAAATTGCAACCATTTGGTGCATACTAAATAAGATAATGCATGCAAACTGC